ACTGCAATGCTAAACTCGTGACCCATTTCGTAGGTGTGGGTGGCCACTTGTGATAATGCGTCGCCTCGTCGCACAGCCAGCTTATGCTCGTGTATGCGCGAAAATTATGAGGTGTGCTAGCCAATCATCGACCGACGGCGCAAGACTGGAGGTGACTGCGCGCAGGGCAATGAATAGGACAATAAACAAAATGTTCCGGTGCTCTAACCCTCTTGCTCTTCTTCACTTATGCACACACCTGGAACTCGAAATTTCGCTTTCACTCGTGAGAAATCCGGACGCGATGCACCTCTGACATCTCGCAGCTGGGAGTTATTCTCTACACGAGAGGCAACAACATACGAACAGTTACGTTTTCTGCACCGATGTCTCCAAGGCGAACTGACCCCACGATGCCTGAGATATAAAGCTCCCGTTAATACGGCCATGGGAAGAGACGTCGTGAGGCGGTTTGTCAAGCAGATGACAAGAGTTCTGATCGAAGGTTGCCCCCGGCGTTTGCAGAAATGCAAGTTTGAGATCGAGGAGAATAGAAGGCAGTGTGTCCACACTCGGTAATTCTATCGCCACGGATATTGGGAAGACGATCTCCGCTCTGGCACACAACAGGCAAGCCAAGAAGAAAGAAGTTTTGGAACGGAAATTGACTAAGCTAAAACCAACAGGTGCAGAAAGCTCAAACTTGGTCCACAACCTCTCGTCTAGGCAGCTAACAGAGCAGCAGCTACGAATGCTACAGCATGAAACTTGTTTTAATACTGCAGATGCCGATCCTGTAGACTTCATTGCAGCTCTGGAAGCTATGCTTGTGAGAAGTGAAACATCCGACGACAAAAAACACTCCGTCCGACAGCGTGTTACCTCTTTGGTGATGAAACACAGACCAACCAAATGTATTTCGCAGAGTGAACCAAAGGCTACGAGGGAACCGAGGAGGGACGACAGAATCATCATTCTATCTGCTGACAAGGGACTGTCAACCGTCGTGATGAATCGGGAAGACTATAATGAAAGAGCTAAAGCTCTTCTTGATGACGGAGAATTTTACAGACCAGCACAGAACTCGCAGGACAACGAGCCCGTGACTCAGTGGTTAGGGCCTTAGACTTCTAACCAAAATGTTGCGGGATCGAACCCCAGGTGTTCCACACTTCGGTGTTGGGTATGGCTGGCCGACGACCTCTGGTAGGCCGGAAATGGCCATTTCTGCCTAATATATCTCTGTCGGGAATGCTATTCTGCCTACAAGTAATTTTTTCCTGCCGACAATCGTTCACTGCATTGAACCTGTCGCCAGGGGGTTCTGTGGACTGTAAATGTCACTCACTATGCCTCCACCAACTACCGCAAACTGTCAGCTCATGGATTATAAAGGTAGACGATACATGATCTGCACTAGTAGGCAGTGACGTCATGTAGAGGTTTTAGCCATAGTTTCTGTAGGAACAAGTACGGACGAGACTGCAGTGGTCATTTTTGGTTTATTAGTCGTTGTCAGCCCGGTCTCGACAACCGGAGATTCGAACCCACAGTCTTTGGCCATCGAGCGTTTTTGGGTCTAACCTTTTATCACCGAGCCACGGGCCGTTTTCCGATGGTGACTATCCCCAATTACATCGAAGAAGACAGTGGTCCCGTGGCTCAGGAGGTGAGGTGCCCGACTTAACAGCTCTCGACGGCCAGGGAATCTGAGTCCGGATCCCAGTTTGCCCAAACCTCGGATTTGACGTGGCCGGATGAGGACGGCTAGTAGGCTGGAAACGGCCACCCCAGTCTCTGGCGCCCCTTCCTGTATTAATTCTGGTCACTATGCGATTGCCTGTACAGGCTCTAGATTAAACCCCAAAACGTAACTGGCACGATCCCCTACCGTAGCCTGATCGGTGAACGACCTTACCACCCTAGTGCTGCCCGTTTTCGAGGTCAAAGTCAAATGCTTGAAGAGGAGTTGCCTTATCTCAAGCCTCAGAAGCCATCTCTGGTAGAAAGCTGCACGGCAACTGACTCGGTCTTTGTAATTTGCAGGTGGGTATGACGATTGTCACTCTGAAGCATAAACGTCTTCAGTGCTACCATAACTGTACTAGCATTGCAACTATCAGATGAGTTCAAGCTCCACTTTAGTTTGTCAAAAACTAGGCTCCCTGCCGAAGAGGTGGTGCCCTTTTGATGGACTTGAGTATTGCCTTGCCTTGAATCTCCTCCCTGCTCAAATAAATGTTCCCTCCGACCTCCTCTAGGCACTTCGGTTGTGTCTTGTCCGGGACACTCGAATGCGTGCGACAGTTGACGACCTCCTCCGAATGAATTACTGCGCCTGTCCCAATTCAATCTCACTTCCGTGAGCGTCCACGTCGACGCCGGAGGGATTCCCATCTGTATCACTCAGTCGGACGTTTGTCGTCGACCCTTCTAGAGGACTGACGCGCAGTGCTCATCGCTGTTTTTACAGTTTTAGAAACAAAGATGCTTGTTGTTGAGGATTGCTCCAGCATCTTCACCCAAAGTGACCTGCCCATGTTTATTTCCGGTGCAGCTCTCCGTATTTTCGCGCTTTGATCTCGGGACTTTCGCCCCCTGAGACTTGTCGAAAAAGTCTGAGCATGTGTATATGTTTTGTACAGTCGTGATACCTGGCATTTATTAAAGCTTCTCTCTTGTTTTTTACCTGATCCTCTGTGCCTGCTGTCCTCCTTTTTGACAGCTTCCGTCTCGAGCGTACTTTCGCATATAATGTCCAGTCAGCCGGCTGGAATAGGGGTTGTCTAGCCGACAATGGTAGTGGAGGTTGGAGTAGCTGCATTTATGACTTGCGGGCCTTTACCAGCCGGTCATATTCAAGACTCAGGCTGGTCTGACCTATGACCTTAAGGTGCATCAGTTAGTCGGCGGGTCGGACGCTCTACCACCTTAGCCACGACCCCCACGCCTAAGCCGCAGCTCAGTTACATCTTTTTTTCGATGGCCGTATAGGCAAGGCCGACTGTCGACGGCAGTAACGTTGGATACAAGAGGAGCTGTGACTTGTGTGCTTCGCAAGCCTATGAGTGATGATCAATCGGCGGATGGCAGCAAGCCTGCAGTGATATGAGCTGCCAGGGACAA